TAAGGTGTCAGGAGGCTAGGGGATTAGGTCAATTTGATTGTGTTAACAACGTAGAATGATTTATGATTGATTCAATCATGTCATTAATAAGAGATGCACCTTTGGAAAATTTAATCATATTGATATCAGAAATTATCTCTATGAGTGTTTGAACATGTATGTATGACTCGCTGTTTAGTGAGCCACGCATGCTACTCACTTTTGTCACTTTAAATTCTGGATTACTTAATAAACCATATGATAGATCAGATTTGCTCATGCGAGTCATCACTATCGTATCAGCTTCTAATATGCCTGCTACGTCAGTCACATTGTCTGATCTGACTTGATACAAATATCCTGTAATGATTACATGTATGTTGGGTACGTGGCCTAATGGGAAAGCTTTACATGAGTTGTTAATCAAACCATTAAGGATTTGAGGATATCATAATCTTTGTGAGTAATCTTTTTTAACCAATCTCATACTATGTCATTGTCCAAAATCATAAGACAAATGAAGGGTCTCTCAACCTCTATAAATAGAGGGTCCATTCGTCAACACCAACATGATTAAATCGCCCGAAGGCGCATCTCTCAACAATGATGCAACTGAATCAGTCATAAAGCATCATGCGATAATGGTATACTTGAATCATCCATAAAACATCTTTGGATGACTACGCAATTGAATCAACCTTAAAACATTCTTGATGATGATGACATGATTGAATCAATCATAAAGCGTCCAACGATGATGGTATGATCAAATTGACCATAAAGTGTTTTATGACTATAACATGGTTAAATCATCTATGAAGTGTCTTGGGATGATGACGTTGATTTGACCATAAAGCATCTTGCAATAACAACACGATCGAATTAGCTATGAAGTGTTCCATGATGATGATGTAATTGAATCATCCATAAAGCATCTTACAATGGCAACATGGCTAAATTAGTCATTGAACATTTTTTATAACAACACAACCTATGATAAGGGAAATAACTCTCAAAGACATAATTAACTTAAGCATGAAACATCGCCCAATAACTACTAGATTAGATTGACAACCTATTGAATAGTACATCGTGTCTCAACCCCACTTCATGCATTAAAACACGATCAAAGAAGATGATAAGGGAGACAAGATGCATAAGTAATCATTGATCCATCCGGACAAATAAATTATTTTCGCATATCTAACACCTTAATCTTATTTAATCGATACATCATGTGGGATCCAACCCTACAAGGCTAATAGCATGGCATTAACTAGGGTGTTGACTTGATCTCACAATCTCGACCGCACGACAATAATGGGAAAGTTGACTCAACAAGTTGTTACTCCACATCCCATAGGTTCGATGCATAATTCCACACCCCATTGGTCCGTAAATAATACTCATAATTATTTTTGATATTTATCATGATCTAAATCCAAGGCGTTCGATTGCCTGATCTTACTATAAAAAATCCCTTTAGATGTGTTTAGAATGCTTTCTTTGGCATCAGATCAGAGCATCCAAATTCTTATTAATTTAAGCATCAAAATGTCTTATCAAGTACACCCCCATATAGCTTTTTTTTTTTATGGATCTCATATTGAATTCTCCATTCTCCCTATATCTCAACTCTAAACCCTTGCTGTGTGTTAGACAACCTATCCTAACTCTATATTTGTTTAATACATCGGATTTATTATTTAATGAACTTAATTTAGGTATAGTTTAATAACATATGGGATGTATTCAGATAGGAAAAAGATACATAAATTCGATTCCAATTTAAATACCTACATAAATACCTATTGGATATGATAAAATTGATAAATAATGGTTAGAGAACCTGTCAATTATATATAAAAAAATGGTCCTAATAGAATTGGTAAGAGAACCCCACCAACTCCATCTAGAGGTGAACATGGGTGCGATCGTATTTCTAAAATTCGATTTTGTCTAAAATAATTCATATTAAAAATAGTAAAAAATTAATTTATTTTATTTATTTATTTAGAATTATTTTATAAGAAAGTATCCATGCAGTTGATTGAAAATTCGCGTTTTATTATTGAGCACAACTATAATTTACGTTTGGAAAATTGTCAAAACTGGAAACCTATTTTTTTTAGGACGTTCACATATTTTTGCCTATTTACTCTGAATGAGAAACTTCCCTTGAAGTCATGCCATCGCCGGCGACTTTGGCACTGACCAAAAGCCAACGCGGGCGTGACTCCGTCCACAGAACCGCCTCTTCTAGGTTTTCAGCAAAGCCATTCGTCCCAACGGAGGAATAATTGTGACCTCAGTCATCCGTCAAATAAGAAAGGCCCACACGGCCTCGCTTTTAAAGCTGGGCTACCGCCATACCGTTCCTTGCCACATGGCTCCATTTCCGAGCTCCACGCAGCAGGTAAAAACGGTATTTTTGTAATTTCATAGTACAAACGCGTAAACAAATACGCGAAGCTGCTACGAAACAGCCGATACCGCTTCGCCGAAACCGACATAACGATTAAGTCGCTATATAATCATCGTCCGTCGTCTTCCCAAACCCAAACGCAGCTCTCACCAAAATCTCATCGTGTAGTATTCCCAGATCGAACCATGGCGTTTAGAACGATGGAAATCACCTTGATCTCGGCCAAGGACCTCAAGAACGTCAACGTCTTCTCCAAGATGACCGTTTACGCCGTTGTCACCATCTCTAGCGATCCCCGCGTGTGGCAGCGCACGACTACCGATCGCGAGGGCGGCCGCAACCCGTCCTGGAACTCCACCCACCGCCTCACCGTCCCCAACGACGTCGCTCATCGCCACTTTCTCCACATCCTCCTCCGCACCGAGCGCGCCCTCGGAGACCGTGACATCGGCGAGGTCCGCGTCCCCCTCTCCGATCTCCTCGCCGGTGCCGGCGATGGCCCGCGGCCCGTCCAGTTCGTCAGCTATCAGGTCCACGGGATGACATCCGGCAAGCCCAAGGGCGTCCTCAACTTCTCCTACAGCCTCAGCGAGCGGGTCTTGGCGCCCGCCACCGCGTCGGCCGCCGCCCCGTTCGACGCCCACCGGCCTCCGTTCACGTCATACCCTGCGGTCTCCGCCTCGCACTCAGCGCCGTCCTCGGCGAAGGCGGATGAGCCTGTGATGGCGTACCCGCCGGGCCCCAGCTCGGCCCCGTATCCCGCATACGCGGCAGCGCCGCCGCCGTATCCTCCACAGTCGGGGTACCAGCAAGCGCCACCATATGGGTACGGTTACGGGTACCCTCCGGCGGGGTACGGGTACGGGGCGGCGCCGGCACCGGTGGTACAGCCGCAGAGGAAGAACAGGCTCGGGATGGGGTTGGGAGCGGGGCTCCTCGGCGGTGCCCTCGGCGGGCTTCTGATTGGGGACATGATGTCCGACGCCTCCGCCTACGACGCAGGCTACGATGCCGGATTCGATGATGCCGGCGACTTCGGTTTCTAAAGAAGACGACTTCCTCTTCCCTCTTCGTTTCATCATGTCGTCGATGTTGGTTAGTGCAAATTAGTGAATGTATAAAGTTTAGAGTGTTCGATATTCAATTCTTTGTTCATCTTTAGATATACTTTATTCATTAGTGTGGACACCACACAGAGCTCAGTGTTTTGGAATCCTCAATCCTGTAATGATTTAGTTCATATCATCATATGTTAACTTACACAAATACATGATTGGGGATTCTGATAATTAATTTGGACTTGGTTGAACTGAATTGAACCAATCCTCTCCATTAGAATGAATATAGAAATTTTGATGCAGTCAATCGGATATTTGCGTCCTTTGATACTGTATAATTTCACAAATATGGATTTCAATTCGTATAAAAGTATTCTTCATTTTGTTAGAATAATTATTAAAAAATAAATCATTAGAAATTCCTAATGTTTTTAATTATTAATTTACAATAGTTAGTAGAGATTTACAATAATACATATGTAAAATTTTTTTCTCTTAACTACAAAGTCAAAGTATTAGTTTCTCGCTTTTGTTATGTTAATCAAACAATAATAATAAAATCATAAATTTTAACTATTTAAGATCAATTATATATATCTTTTGTCGAAGATATGAAAAATATTATATGTTAAGAGTATTTGATAAATAATAGATAAAAATTATATTTTAAATATATATTGATGTAATATTATTATAAATTTACCCTTCTAATATTTTAAAATTTTAAATAAATAAAAATACAACCTATATATTATAATAAATAATATAATATATATTATATATATAAATAAAATTACATAAATTATGTTAGTTTCTCACTAAATAATGTTGATAATTTTTATGATTTAAATAATATTAGAGGATATATAAATTTTTTTAAAAATTATATTAGCATCCTCTAAATGTAAAATGCTTATGTTATTTATAAATAATATTTATGCTAAATTATCATGGATAAAATTATAAATGAGATATTTGATATAATGCTTATATATGTTTATGATTTTTAGTTTTATTTATACCTGACAGTAGGTTTAGTGATCCCATTTTGATTAGATTTGGTGGTTTGATATCGCTTTAAATTTGTAAATGAAGATTGTATCACACAACAACTATAATCTAACTTTATTTGATAAAAATATACTTCGGTTACTCAATCTTAATTTGATCTTATAATAAATATATATATATATTTCTAATTAGCGTGGTTTGATATATTCCAAGCATTAATATGTAATAATTACATATATGATACTACTATGAAGTGTTAACAATTGTGGAAATTTTGTCTAAATGATATCACTAATAAGTATCAATTAAACACCTCAAACTATAAATAAATACATTATCAAATAAGTAAAGAAATAAAAATATTTCAGGTATCACTCACATGAAGAAATAAGAAATATAAAATGACGTTGTATTGACGGTGTCAAAGGTGGGGCCCCTCATAATCCGCCACGACGACTCGAAGAATGTGGTGTGCTGTCGCTCACGGCGAGCACAATTATTTGTGCTCGCCAATCCGATCCCCACAGACGGAACGAAAGTAACCTCATCTTGTTCTTACATTGTGCACCTTGTGGCATAACTGTAATTTAACAACGAATCCGTGTTGTCTTCTACGGCGAGTCCTCGCCGCCTCCCCTCTTCTCCCCGCCCGCCTTCCTTTTCATCTCGCTTCTACTCGTCCCCTTCTCCATCCATGGCTTCGATCTCGATCCCTCCATCGCCTTCCTCCCCCTCCTCTTCTTCTTCTTCGCTTTCTCCTCTCCCGTGGACGAATCCAGACCCTGACTCTGATTCTTCGTTTGCCCCCCCTCTCGTGGAGGATTCCCGGCCCTCGCCGCCTCGGTCTATCGTTCCGAGGGAGGAGGAGGAGCCCGTCGAACCCGAGTCCTGCGGCGAAGTTGCGCCTTCCGTCGATTTACCCTCCGCCGAGACCTCGTACTCTTCCCACGAGTCGGCTCTCCCGGCAGACCTTCCGCCGCTCCTACCCGTCAGCTCCTCGTCGTCGCCGCCGAAGGTGGAGGCCGACTCGGTGGCGCCGTCGCTGCTCCATCTTTCCTTCAACCAGGACGACGGCTGCTTCGCCGCCGGCACCGATAGGGGTTTCCGGATCTACAACTGTGACCCCTTTCGGGAAATATTTCGCCGGGACTTCGACGGCGGTGGCGTCGGCGTTGTCGAGATGCTGTTCAGGTGTAACATCCTCGCGCTCGTCGGAGGCGGGACTAGCCCGTATTATCCGCCCAATAAGGTTATGATTTGGGATGATCACCAGAGCCGGTGCATTGGGGAGCTGTCGTTTCGGTCGGATGTCCGCGCTGTCCGGCTCCGTAGAGACAGGATCATCGTGGTGCTCGACCATAAAATATTCGTGTACAATTTTGCGGACCTCAAATTGGTGCATCAGATTGAGACTGTGCCCAATCCTAAGGGTTTATGCGCTGTTTCACAGCAGCAGGGGTCGCTTGTGCTCGTCTGCCCCGGTGGTCAGAAGGGCCAGGTCAGGGTGGAGCACTATGGGGCGAGGTCGACAAAGTTCATAATGGCACATGATTCAAGGATTGCTTGCTTCGCACTTTCTCAGGATGGACGGTTGATTGCAACTGCAAGCTCCAAGGGCACACTGATTAGGATATTCAGTACAGTCGATGGAATGCTCCTTCAAGAAGTAAGACCTCGCATTGGATCAAACTTACCATGGATATCAATTTTTTCTTTTTCTATTGTTTAATATCATGCACTATGCCATTGTTCAATCAGTAATTTTGAAACATAAAATTGTCTACATTTTTGTAGGAAACAATTGTTCATACGTGAAATTCCGCATACTGCATAGTTTTTTCTATAAGTTATAACATAATTGAAATTCATAAAGTTATCTTAATTGTATTTACTGAACTTTAAAGTTGATGCTCAACTCGATTGTTCTGTTAAGTTCAAACAAACAGGTAGCACATAACCTGCAAAATCAAATCCATGGAGTTGTTTCAAATAGGAATATTTGGAAATGTCTTATTCCAACAATTATGGCATCAATTAATAGAATAATCTTTTTATGTTGGTTACATGTTGAGATTCAAATGCAAAAGCCTAGTAACCAAATTATGCTCTTAATTCTCGACTGTAACATGCCGCTTTGTTATTCCTTATAATAGTAAAAATTTGTGTCATCATATATTTTGCTTTGAGCGAAGATTTTAATTTATGCTCATTGATCTACATGGCTATATGTCTGGTCAACCTATATTCTTAGAGCAGGCTATATAATTTTGAAAGAAAATATTGATCTCGGGTCTAGAAGCTTTGTTCTAGATCATTTGAATCTATTAGCATCTTATACATCAGATTACTTATTTGTAGGCCATGAAATTCTAGATTAATTGATTAAGCGAATAATATAGTTCCAAGCTTAAGTCCAAGGTAGATTGCCACATCACAACTTAGTGGTATAGAGTCAACATGTGTAAGAAACTATAATAGATATTGCTGGCAGCAAAATAGGTATCATGTTATCTTTCCTTTTCCTTTTCTTTCTCGTTGATATTTGCATATAGGAATTTCCTATTTCATTTCTTTTGTTGTATTTCCATTTCCACTACTCTCCTGCACCTTTTGTTTCTTTTACTGCTGATTGATATCTACTGCTATTTATTGGTTATCTTTCTCTTTCTCTCTTATGTATCTTTTATTATTATGGAATTTTGTATTCTGTATATTTATTTTCTTTATTATGCCCATACTGCTTTCTTTTCCTTTAATACTGTTGCTAAAATGATTTCTACCAGTTCCATCATCTTTTTCCCCTGATTCCTTCCACTATATCATAATTTGCTGCTATTGCTAATTGCTATTCTGTCACTGGTACTTAAGTGCTTAAAATATTCTTTTCCATTACTGTTATTTTTTTTCCACATTACTGTTATTTTTCAAGTTAGCATGTATTATCACTTCCTTTTCTTTGTCGTGTACCATCAGTATCACTTTCCCCTTTTCCTTTGTTTAGTTACTAGTAACTTATATTAGATTCTTTTGATTTGCTTTATTCTTTTTCTTCTTGTGCTATCGTAGCAAGTGAACTATTTCTCTTTCAAGTAATTCATTTTGTAGTTGAGAATCGGAAAATCCTGCTTCTTTTGATTTTACTTTTTAGCTTTCTTAATATGTTGCCAAGCCATATTATGCAACTTTGTTTAACTGAGGAAAATCTATTAGGATTATGTTTTGTTGTCAATTAGTTTAACCTCTCATTTGGTTTTTTGTTTTCACAACTATATGCTTGTCTCAAGAATTTGCGATAATATCTTCTATTTTTTAGGTTTTTTATGGTAGCTACTTATATGTATGATTTTTTTTGTTTTTTCAAGTGAACTTCCTAAACTGTTAGACTGTCCTCATAAATGCTTGGGAACCTCTTAGGCAAGTATAGAATTTCCCACTTATTGATTACCTAGCTGGCTCGACAGCATTGCAAATTATCGTCATGATAGTCTTTCATCCCATCTAATTGCAACATCATAGCAAAGATATGCAAATGATTAATTAAACTTTAATCAGTATGAGAATAACACGAACTAGGGCGTGAAATGATGTGAGATTTAGAAAACCAAGATATAGAAGATAACTGTTGCCCCAAAACCACTGATAATAGATTGTTAACTCAATTTAGCTATCTTGATCTTATTCCTGTAGTTAGAGGATAATTGTAGATAACTATGACCAATTTTACATTGTGGTGCTAATATTGCTTTGAAGATATTTTAATCAATCAGTCCTGGTTGAGGTTGATCCAGCTTTGAGAAAATAAATTCAAGTCCTTAATTTTTACCTGGTTGTCGAGTCTACTGACTGACTGGATGGGCTAGCTCACGCATTTGAGCCCTTAGTTCTAAACAATCATAGGATTATTTAATGAGGTACATTCATGTATTGAAAAAGGCAGCAAAGTTTGCACAATTTTTCCTTGATTTATTTTTCATCTTCCAATGCTTATATTGCTTTTAGATTTGTCTGAAGTTTTGTTTTCAGGAAAAATGATAATTTATTTAACCAACGCCATGACAAATCTAAATCACATTCAATAGTTTATCAGTCAGTAAATTGTTTAAGTTATTTGTGTATTGAGCAGTTTTTTATAGGTGAGGGGTGTTCTTATCTCGACCAGATTGTAACAAGAGAATCACTATTGACCACAGACCATGGCCTGGCTTCAAGTGTTGGTTTCTTTAAGTGTCATACCTCAATCCTAGTTGGCATGTTAACTTCTTTTGGTGGATAGGAGAAAATGAGCACGACAATAATATGATTGTACAACATATTAAGTTGGTCTATCAAAGGAAACTATGAGTTCTGAGGAAATTATGGACATGCCTAAGCTGTTTTGACGCAGAAGTTTTAAGGGCGAAAGAGTCTTGGCATGGGATGGTAATGGAAATCAAAGTTGAAGTAGGGGGTGAAAATCAAGTTCTCAATTTTTTATGTTTCAGTTCAACCAAAATTATTTGGTTTTTACCAAAAAAAAAATTGTAAATTTTAGCGCATGCAAATTGTTAATGTTACGTACATTAACCCTCCAGACCCTGTATTGACAAGAGCCTTGTGCACTAGATACACCTCTTAGTGCATGTAAATTGTTGGTGTTACTATCCTTTTCTTCTTATATAAAGATTTATATTACTCCAAATTCTGAACATATATGTCATTATTTAAAAATCTAGCAAAGTTTTGATGTTGTCGGGATAAGAATGTTGAGATAGATGTGTAGAATTACTAGGAAAGATAGGAAAAAAATTCTTGTATTTGTGAACAACTATGTATCGTTTTGATAGAGGATAAGATAAGATAAAATCATTTAAGATGGTATGGACATATGATTAGGAGACCTATGGATACGATAGTTAGAAGAGGTGAAATAATTAATATTAACGATACGAGGAGAGGTAGAGAAAGACCTAAAAAGACTTTAATAAAAATTATAAATTAAGTATTCTGAATTTAAATAAACATATAACTTTTTACATATCTCAATAGCGACAAAAGATCCATGTAGTCGACCTCAAATAGTTGGGACTTGCGGCTTTGTTGTTGTTGTTGTTTAAAAATCTAACAATTTTACTTGGTTTGGAACTATAATGACTTTTTCTTTTTACGCCTTCTTATTATAGTTTGTTGCTTGGTTGAACTTAATCTAGGTTTATATAGTGTAACACCATGTTCTTCCTATTTGCTTCACTCAACCAAGCCAACCTTAAGAGGTATATTTTTTTATTCTAACAAAGTAACTGTATCCATAATTATGATTACTGTCCATGTCTTTATGCGTTTGTAATCAAGCCAAGCCAAGTTGAGCTTTAGCTAGAGTCTCGACTAGTTTCAATAGGTAGCTCGAGCTCTGTTCAAATCTTGAGTTGAGCTTGAAAATGATGTTCAAGCTTGACGTGGCTTATACTCGGACAGCTTAAGCTTATCTCAAGCTTTGTATAAGCTCAGTTCCTTAATGACTTGTTTATCTTGTTAATGAGCATGGCTTGAGCTCAAGTTTGTATGTGAAATGAGTCAGCCCAGACTTAAATTCAAGTTGCTAAGAAAAATCTGGCTATTATTTCATTTTCAGTACAAGTTAACTAATTTAGTTTCTGTAAGTTCCATCACTTTTTTATGAAAAACAAACACATATCCAAAAAGAGAACAAAAAATATCAACAACATTTTATAGACTTCAAATTCGTATAATCCATGGTCCATCATAATATAAAACAATGAAAAATTGTGTATTGTTGTTGAACTGACCTCAAGCTGAAATTGGTAATGAGAAGGTTTTAAAATCTAGCTATTATTTCAATAAAAAGTTAAGAATTTAGTTGGCATAACTTCCAACACTATTTATGAAAAGTAAATACAAATAAAAAATAAAACAAACAAAAAATAATAACAACAACAATGTTAGATATTTTCAATATACATTCAAACTGTAAGTGCATATGATGTATAGTCTATAAAAATACAAAATCATGATTAATTGTGTATTGTCGTTGATCCATCCTTTTCAATTCCAAAGAAATATATATCTGTAATTTACTAAATATTAATTGATTTCTCATTTTTAATTATTGATGCAACAATTCATAAAAATAAATATGAGTCTAATTCGCACATACATTTGTTTTTTCAGTTTTACAATAATTGAAGTCATTGATTATGACATATGTCATAATACATGGCTTATCATTAGTTTATAAACTTATTCATGAGTTTGTAAAATATTATAATGACAACTCATTGGATATACTATTTGTGAACTCATAGACATGCAATTTTACTCATGAGAACTTATAAACTAAGGTTTGTCTTATCGTTCCAAACCAACGTGTCGGCTGGTCGACACGTACCGGTGTGTCGAGTGTTGGCATGTCAGGGCATGCTAACGACACAAAAAAGGGCAAAAAAATACTTGAAAAATAAAACAAACTTAGATTAGGGTTTTTAAGTTGGAAATAAATATAAATTTAGTATAATTTCAGCAAAAATATTCTAAGTTACAAAAGAATAGTGGCACATCTTTTTCAAGCTTTGATGAATAGCTTTGTAGCACATTCTGGAACATCCTTTCGCTGATATTGAATTATTTGGAAAGAAATAATTTAAATTGTTAGATTTTGAGTTAGATTTTATTATTCAAATGAATGAAATAATAAATGGATCGATTGATGGATATACCTGGTTCTACCACAAAAAAGAACAACATGACTCTATGAGCAATGGATTGGGGTCCTCGACCCTATGTATTCATTTGTATATCAATATGATATGTTTGACTGACCTAATCATGAAATTAATCATACGACATAGTATACTGATACACTGTATGTCATTGGTGCATCAATATGGTGATGATCGTAGTCTAATCGTCATGAACCACACATGTCCGAGGTAACTCCTGAGGTAAGTACGGTTGTGGCATGCATTGGTATAGAGGTTGGAGAATACTGGAACTTCTACTTTTGCCACTGATCTATTGCTTCGTATCATAAGATCGATCACTGTACTATTGATCGGAGAAAAGTGACCAACTATCACCGTACTGTTATTGGCCGTAAGATTCTCCATAATACGATTAGCCTCCCAAATTTGATCCAATCCATAAATCGCAACTTTGTTCAGTTTAAGGGAATACGAACGTGAGAGAATGAGAGAAAGATACGAGGAAGAAAGAGATTGAGAGAGTAGAAGAGTTTAAGTGAAAGGGGAGTGAATGAGGGAGTAGAAAGGGTTTAAAAACCCTTAAATCTAGTTCAAACGGTCAAATGAACTGTTTGAATTCAATAAATCCCAACCCTTCATTGGTAACATTCGAAATACAGATCGGTAACTATCAGATTTCGATTGTTTGGCTTGGTACAAACCCTGTATTGCCCGATACGTGGTCCCTTATTATGGACTGCTCGGTACAGGGAGGTCCGCGTGTCGATCCACTGTAGAATTGGTATGTATCGCCTATACTGCCCAATACAGCTCAACACGACGAACCTTGCTATGAACAAATTTGTTTATGAATGAGTTTGTTCATGGGTTTATTCATGCATGGTTTGTCCTACCAATCTGTATCGGTGTACCAACCAGCTGTCTATATGGTATGTACCGAGCTGTACTGAGTCGTACCAAGCGTACCAACACATGGTATATGGAGGCATATCGATGTACCACCCATACCGGTCCCTTGTCGGACCGATATGTATCGCTCATATCGAGTGGTATGCTGCAGTACGACGAACCTTGTATTCATGAGCTTACTGATGGGCGCTTATTAACAAATCAAATTGCGAGCCTAACAAGCTGTATTTTCCATGTTCATGCTTGTCTCATTTAAAAATTTAGCTTTGGAATGGGGTTTGGACTTGTTTCATTTAAGTTGGAAAATAACTTGGGTGAGCATTTAACGAGCCAAACATCAACTTAGTTGCATACCGCTTGACTCATCTGTGGCCTTATGTCTTATTCTCTTAGAAGAGATTTGTTATTTGTTCATGTACTGTGACTCAGAGCATCAACTATTTGAGTAGAATAGAAAATTAATGGATTGGAGATGCCAGGGCAGTAACATCAATTGTACTTGGGCATTAGTAACATGGATTACCACGATAGGTGGTGAGTTGCATATGCCATGCAATCACTCAAGTGGTGGATCCTTCTTTTTCTTGTTTACTCTCTTTTCCCACATTTATTTTTTATCGATTTTTCTTCGATTCAGTTGCAGCTTTAGGTTTGGTGCACAATATCATTTTTGTCTGGTGAACTGCTAGTATCTTTTTACTGTAGCTTAACATTTCCCCCTTTTTTGTTGTGTAATATTTGACAAACTTGAACTTTTATGGTTGACCCGGACGAATTGCAAATTGTAGCAAGTGGCTCTTACAGAGCTCTCATACCATTTCTATGCATTCATATTTGCTAATGTGTGTTTTTCTACTTCATTTCACTGGTTTTTGAATGTTCTTAATTCTTCCTGGTGAAATAGGTTAGAAGAGGTGCTGATAGAGCAGAGATATATAGCTTGGCTTTCTCTGCTAACTTGCAGTGGCTAGCAGTCTCTAGCGACAAAGGAACTGTTCATGTATTCAGCCTGAAGATTAATTTAGGATCGACAGCACATGACAAGCCTCGCCCTGCATCAGATCCAAATGTGCCAACTACAAGTTCACATCTTTCTTTCATCAAAGGTGAGCTTGATTATTTGCAAAAATGCATGTCCTAGATAGCAGATCAATTAAAAGTGTATATTATTATTGTAGTTGGTGTCTCTTTTCAACAGGAAGAGCTCCATCTTTCAAATAATGGGATAGGTGTTTCCTTATGTTTAAAATAATAATGCTTATATAAATGGTTTTATAATTAAGATAACAAAGTGAGCAGTATGATCAATTTACTAGAAAATTCAATGATGGTTTTAAAGACTCTTTTTGGAAGAACTGGATTGCAAATTAGAAATATTACAAATTACAAATTTCTGTGTATTCTGGATAGTGTATCCTTATTACCCATTCTTAGTATGATTCATTCAAGTGATTCTCCTGGTGTCTTCCTTCCATAGCAACCTATTGTTCACAAGAGTTTAGAACTTCAATTATGTAGATGCTTTTGGAGGCCACAACCACACATTGCCAATAACTCGTCCAAGTAACGAAAGCTTCCAGCAGTTTGAAGTTTAAATCAAGGTATGCAATTTCGAATAATATCGCTCGGTACGGGCGGTACGTATTGGTCCATCAGCTTACGGGTAC